TGGTGCAAGGGTTGGAGCAGCTCCCGTGCGAGGACAGGCTGAGAGAGTTGGGGGTGTGCAGCCTGGAGAAGAGAAGGCTCCGGGGAGACCTTCCAGCACCTTCCAGTGCTGAAAGGGGGCTACAGGAGAGATGGGGGGGCTCTGGATCAGGGGGTGCAGGGACAGGACGAGGGGGCAATGGGTTTGAGCTGCAAGAGGGGAGATGGAGATGAGATGTGAGGAAGAAATGTTTTCCTGTGTGGGGGGTGAGGCAGTGGCCCAGGTTGCCCAGAGCAGCTGTGGATGCCCCATCCCTGGAGGGGGTCAAGGCCAGGCTGGATGAGGCTTTGGGCAGCCTGGGCTAGTGGGAGGTGTCCCTGCCCATGGCAGGGGGTGGAACGAGATGAGCTTTCAGGTCCTTTTCAACCCAAACCATTCTGTAGTTCTCTCCCATCCGGGTTTTAAAGACAGTAGCTGAAAAGTAATATGCGAAGAGGAGATGACCGTGCAGACCTGAGTCTTGAACAGTGACTGTAGAATAATTGTTCAGTGCTTGTGGCCCCATGGGGACAGTGATGTGCCTGTAGAACTGATCAGGCAGCAGTTTTAAACCAAACAAGCGGGAAGCAATTTATTTTTAACACACATTATGCAAGTCATAGCCCCAGGGTGTTGTGAAGGCCAAAGACCAATAAATATGTCCATGTGCATTTATTAAACACAGCAGCACGGATGCGACATCCAGCTTGGGAAGTCCCTCAGAGCTTCTTTACTAAATATGTATTTTAAGGGAAAGGCTTTCTTGGTACTTGCTGTATTTTTTTTTTATTTTTTACCCCAGGATCTGCTCCTACCTACAGACTGAGGGTGCTTTGGGTGAGAAAGGGGATCTGGTCTGGGTCAGCCTGGGATTGTTCTTTGTTAAGCAGCTGTTTTCTCCAGCTCCTCAATGGCTGTATTTAATTGATAGTTGAAAAGGATTAAAGTAAATACAGTGCTATCTCACTGGTTGGTGATGGGTAGTCAGTACCGTGTCATGAATTTTGACTGGCTCTGAGAATACCCTTTGAGCGCTAAAAATAAAATTGCCCTAGGGGAAGGGGTAGAGCTCCTGATATCTACAACGTTGAATAATCCCCAACTGGGGGGCTATCGTTCCTGTACCCTGGGGAAAGAGATTGAAAAGTTGAAAGGAGAGAAATGAGGGTCATGTAGGCTGTGTCTGCTGTTCAAATAAAAGAGCTGAGGATTGGTTGCTGGCTCTAAGCCCAAATGGCTCGGGAGAGCCAACATTATGCTATTTAACTCTTTCTTCCTCTTTAAAACTGTCCTGATTTCTAAGCTTAGTGGTACAGCTGGAATGGTTCTCATAGTGTCTCTGGGAACCTTTCCAACCCTTTAAATTTGCCAGTGGAGTTGTAGTCCTGGGGTCTGGGAGGTGATGCTGATGTGACCATGCCCTAGGGCTACACAGTTATCTGCCATGAGAAGGATCTCACTTGGATGCAGTGGCTAGGAGCTTGAAAAGTTCAAACTGAGTGTGAAAATTCTACCCTTGATGTGAGCAGCAGCAGTGACATGAGGCTGAAGGCTGGTTCCCCTTCTCCTGGGCTCCTGGTGCACCCAACCTCTTCTGGGCTGAAGCTCTAGACCAGGTTTCAAGTTCAAGGTGAGTAGTGAAAATGTATGAAATAGGAAGGTTTTTTCTTTCCTCCTAAGCCTCTTATGTTTTCTCCTTCTCTTTCTCTTGGGTCCTAATTCTGTTCCAATTACTTCTCTGCCTTCCCCATTTACTTGACTCTCCTCCTTTGGTGTCTTCTCCTGGAGGCTGGTGCCTGTCCTTTACTTCTGCTAACTGGCTGAGGGTGCAAAGAGACTGTCCCGACTCTCTCCATGGCAAGATAGAGCCATGGATGGTGATGCCAAGAGTGCATAGACAGCTGTCCTGAATAGGACACATTTCCTTCTCTTGGGCACATGGTGGGGAGGTAGAGACCAAAGCATGATTGAGTCCTAGTGACCACCTCCCTCCAGATGTCTCACCGTGGCCTCCGTTACCTGATTTATCCAAAATTCTCTCCTCTTGTCTTTTCCACTCCTTTTTGCTTGCTTCCTTAGCTGCATCCCTTTCCCTTCCTATTCCTTTCTCCTCCTGACACGCATACCCTGCTGCTCCTTCAGGAACCTTTGATCTTACATTCACACAGAGCTTTTCCAACAGACGCCTGGAGTTCCTGGTCCTATACACTTGTATTTCCCTTTTGCGTGTTCTTAATCCATGTGGCTTTATGCCTAATGGCTTCTCGGGGCATTGTGCCAGATACTGAGTATTTTTAACGTGAAGAAGGGATTTTACAGTGGATTGGGACTCTAAGATCACCACTTCTGGTGTCTTTCGCCCTGGGAGAAGACCCAGGGCACTGGGAGCAAAGGAGAGGTTGAGCTCCTGCTCTTGCCTAAGGTGTCCTTCCTCTGGTGCTGCCCAGCAGACACCCCTTTTAACACCTCCATAGCCTCCTGCAGCTCTATGGGGTAATTAATGTCCTCAGTTTCAGACAAAAAACCACAAGTGTAGAATCACAGAATCACCGGGGTAACGGCTTCAAGCTGAAAGAGGGCAGATTTAGATTGGATATTAGGAGGAAATTTTTCACTGTGCAGGGGGTGAGGCAGTGGCCCAGGTTGCCCAGAGAAGCTGTGGATGCCCCATCCCTGGAGGGGTTCAAGGCCAGGCTGGATGAGGCTTTGGGCAACCTGGGCTGGTGGGAGGTGTCCCTGCCCATGGCAGGGGGGTGGAACGAGATCTTTAAGGTCTCTTCCAACCCAAACCATTCTATAATTCTATCAGGGTGGAAGGTCCTAAGAGCAAACCCCCCCCAACCCTTCCAGCCCACTGCGCAGGCTGGGAAACCACAGTCCCTTCCAGGTTGCCAGTGATTCACATGCAAATGAAGGGAGCAAGCCGGCTGCCAGCTTGTGCCCTGCATCCCAGCGATGGGAGAAGAGCAGAATGGAGAGAGCCAGCAAACATGGCAGTGGTGACCCTCAGAGGGGTGATTTCAGGATGACAATGTGCGGGGGCTGGTTATTAATAATATTTCTCTTCCATCTGATGTGAAATAATACAAGTTGTTCAAAGTGATGCTGGGAAATGGAGGGAAGGTTGGCTGCATCAAATTAGGGAGTCTGACAGTCTTCAGCACAAGGGTCACTTCGTGGATCTTCCCCAGGGCTGCTTTGATCCCTGCTGTGGGCATTTAAAAAATTCAACCAACAACTGGGATCAAGTTGGAGGGGAGGGTGCATGAGTCCCCATGGGGCAAACCTCCCCTTCTGTCCTTATCATCCTCAAGGACCTAATTACCTAGTTATCACACATTAATGAGGGGAACCACAGCTCCTCCCTGCCCCAATCC